CAACATAGAACAGAACCAACTTGTTTAATTGAAACAGCTGTTAAGATTCATTAATTCCTTTTAAATTTGAAAAACCATAAGGTTAACATGGGGAACTACATAGCCACTGGGGCGGAGCCCGAAAGGATTTTTGGGATAATAATATGCTTTAATGTTAATCGAGAATGTGAGCTATCATCATGCCAAATTTCAGCCCAATGCGTCCAGTAGTTTATGCGTGATTGAGCAACACACACACACACACAAACTCACAAACTTTCAGATTTATAATATTAGTAAGATAGAGGTACCAGTTATCCAGGCACTTTTAAAGTATTAAAAATGTATGACAAACGTTCATTTTTAAACTTTTGTAATTCAAATTCTGTAGGTGTTCACTTTAACTTAGACCAAGAAGAGGTCTAGTTTCAAATTTAATTGGAGATCATTTTTGTAATGACATTTAAGATACTTTCCCCTAAAGCACATGTTTTTAAAATATTCAATAAAAACAAAGAAACTACCGGTACACATTTTTCAACTTTAACGCCCACTCCCTAAAATTTGACGCTCTAAATCGTGTAACTTCATCTCAGTCAACGCGCGTGTTATGGCCAGCCGCGCATTCTTTAATATTGACCCTCTGTCGGTCGCACTGTATTATTTTAATACAATCAACAACCTTTTTGCTATCCCACAACCACTCCGATTGCTATCCCACAACCACACCGATTGCTAGCCCATCACTAATAATGGACCCTTCCCTATCCCGAATCAGCCAGGCTGAACTTGACCTTGTGCAGGACACATTTTTTATAAATTGTATCAATTGGAAACAGTGCGACAAACGCCATAAAAATCTATGTGTATTAGTAATCTTCGAATCCAGGAATTTTGAATCTCAAATCCTAATCCTAAAAGAAATGAATCTTGAATCTTGGAGTCCCAAAAATCATTACAAATGGGCTTATGCCGATTAAAAAAGCAAGAATGAAATAGGAACCTTTACACACTTAGCCTATAACCACTACCACGACAATAACCTCTATGGTTAGGCATTGTCACAGTGTATGCCTTATGATTATATTCTAAAAAAAAACACCCTCGCTGCAGAAAACCTACAGACTAAGCGAATTTCCATTTACCTGGCTGGATTTCTACTAAAATATTCCCTAAAAATCGTCAGATTTATTTCCTATTTAATTAACATAAATTTTAGTGAGTACTAAAGTTTGCTGCTACTGGGAAGATATTTAGATGTGTTTTTTTATTGCAATGTCGATAGCTTAGAATTAATTTTTTTTTAAATCCAAATTTGGTTGGAATATACCCATAAACAAGCAAACTACATAAGTTTATTTATCCTCCATAAGAATAACATGGGAATTTTAAATTTACAATTTTTTTAAATTACCTCGTTCTAGGCTATTTTATACTAAGCTATTCATATTTTACTAAAAAACACACTTTATTACCTACCCTACCTGTGTTATTAATAAACCTAATGTTATGGTGAGAAATTAAATTAGATCATTAATTATTACCTATAGGTTAATCAAAATAGAATGTTTAATTAGTCATAGAATATTTAAAAATATTATAACAGTTAGCCTAAATCAATCATTGCAGACATGAAAACGATACATAACTTATAGTCTGATTTTTACCGGAGTGCGGCTGAAGCTCAGCCCTACCTGCGAGGGACCCGACTCACGCACGCACACTCACCACCGTCCTAATTGCCTGAAAGCCCCGATCCCCTATTCACTAAGTAGAAATATAACATATGTTGTATGATACCTCAAAATTGCAATTCATTTGATGTTAGATATACAATAAAATGGTTAGTGTTAGTACATTTTTTGTTTAATTCAATGAAAAATGAGTCCAAACACGAAATGATTATGACAAGGAGCTAGCTAATAAAAAAGTGTTAAAATATTCGTAGCTTTTACACTTTGTAAGCAAAATATATATTGTTTGGTATCATTTTACTAAGCATTTTGAGCTTAAGTCAAAAGCGTTACCAGATTTTATAACAAACGTAAAATTAAAAAAAATTGATAGTTTAATTTCCGTGAGCCACCGATGACTCGAGTGGCAGGACAATGGTCCGTCCCACGTCCGTCCTAATCCCTTGCATCTGTGTGTGTGAGGCCTGCGTGTGTGTGAGTAGGGTCGACCCTTCAGCCAGCCGCTTTCCGTCAACAACCACACTATAGATTAATCTTGATCAATTAGATACAGTGCGACTCTTCGGGTAAATATTTAGAGCTACCTATAGGTCTAATGGTTTAACATAGGTAGGTCTAAATAATTACCAGAAGGGTCACACGGTATCTAATTGAAGTGTGCGACTGACAGAGGGTTGATAAATTGTAACCAACTGTTTTCGTGTGTGTTAAATGTTGTTACCTTAAGTTCTAGGTATTTTTGTGTATTGATGACGACAATGTGTTACAATGATTTTATGAAGCAAGAGGCTTGACAATGAAACTTTTGTTTCGAAACTAGTCACCCAAGACTTAAATTAGGATTGATGACATAGGCTAAGCTTAAGGTAGGCAAACCTATTTAAATAAGTAATAAACACAATTTTTTTTTTTTTTTTTGTTTGTCCTAGGACGGTAGGCACGAGCCTGGGATTGTTTTTCACATTACTTCAGACTAGACCTAGGGGTTGCGGCATTATCACTTAGATAAAATCCATTGGTGACTTGGCGGGGATCGAACCCGGGACCTCAGGGACTGAAGTCCCGCGCTCTAACCACTACGCCAGCTCGCTCCCCCAGATATGAACACAATAGTCCTATATGATATTATTTAATTCAATCTTTGCTATGAATACTACTCCATTGTTCTATGGCCTGATAACAGTTAACAGCCCAAGGACCACTCGAAAGTTACCCAGGTCACCGTATAAGTTAGGATGAGGAATTTAATTCTGTCACAGGTATTTATTTCAATATTTAATCCATAAAGGTGGCCGGTGGCCTTAAGTTAATTGTGATAAATGTTTAGAACTTATTTGTGGTTTGAAATTATTGTCTTCAGCTATGTTTTATAAACTAGCCTACCTACCATACATATTTTTTATCTTTGCCATAGCCTTTTATCATTGAGTTTTAGGAACTTACGTTAGGGTGTACACTCATCAGATAGGCCTACATAATATGTTTAATCGTTTAGGCCTACGTTAGGCTTAACTTATGACAAGTTTCAGCCAGTGAGATAAAATCCATATCTTTGCTGAGAAATGTTAGGATTAGGCCTAGTGCCTTTCTATAGACTACAATTTAACACGCTCACTGCGGCCGTATCCGATCGGATACGGGCCGAGCGGTTTTCAGGTGCTGCCTTAACCGATTGGATATGCTTGGCAATGCCTTTCGGTTATATCTTCGTTTTTGCTCTAGCGTCGGTCGAAGGTAGAACTAATACCACGTTAGCGTGTAGTGGGTGACTTACTTTTTGTTGTGTTGTAGGTTGGTAAGCTTAGTAAAATTTCCCCATAAAATCTCTGTCTGGCAAACTTAAAAATACACTTGTTGTCCCGTCTTTCTCCCTCCAATTGGCAATACAATGGGACCAGCTACGTTCGAAGCAGTGCTGCTATCTGCGGGTTTTTAGCGAACTACGTTGACTCAGGTCATAACTTAACCCTCCGAGTGTCCATAGTTTAGGCCTTAATGTCCGCCTATTTTTGGCGCATTTGCAAGGTTTTAATAAAACGGATCTGAGAAGCTTAAAACAATGTTAATTCTACTGTTCTATATACCATTTTGTTTGGAAATTCATGGGCTTCAATATTATACATAAAACATAAGGAACATTTGTTTTAAAAAAAATTTTTAGGTACAAAAAAAATATATTTTGGAAAATAAAAAAAAAATAATAAGTTCGCGCTCAATGAAATTGTATAAATTATAGGCCTATAAATATTTGAATATAGGCTAGCCACTTTGTTCAGAATTTTATGAGGATTACAAAAATATAATAATATAAGGAAGTAGATTTGCAAATAAATAAGTAATGGGCAAAAAACAGATTTCAGTAGGCTACATAGCGTTTAGCTAAGAACGCATAGCTTAACCATAGCTAGGAATCTGGCTGATAATTTACATCAATATCACTACCTACTTCTTCAGGATCATCAACCAGCTCTTCAAAATCACTTAGGCCTAAATCTTTTTATAATGCACCACGTATATCACTACTTTTGATTTTTAACACTAAAACAATGATAAACGTAATAAAACACATCAGTCATCGGTCCGAGGTTAACAAAGCTGTTTACAAATATGCACGTCAGCTGTCTGCTACAATATTTTCGGAACTAAAATGAATAGCGCTTAGAGACAGACCTCCGGAGAAAGCTCTGAATCTAACAAAAAGAACGATACCTAACTCGATCCAGTTCAATCTGATTCAGTCAGTCATAGAGCCTTCGCCGTAAACGATGTTCGTGTGTCGAAAAATCGACAAGTGACACTTCGGTACACAAAGTGTGTCGTGAGTCGATTTTTCGACAAGTGACGCTCGGAGGGTTAAAGCAGGACATCACCGAACGTTATTTGGTATTCGTCATACCGAAATAAGTTAAGAAAGCCAATCACCCGGCAATCGGATTTGTTTGACGCTGCACCGCACTAGGGCTACGTCTGCCATTTGATGGGCCGCAGTGGACGTTTTAAGCCTTGTGGAAGAGCTGTTGACTAGTTTAACTCAGGAAAACTAAAACATGCCGAGGGATATTTTTTCAACAGAAAAAACTAAGGCAAGGTAAAGATAGGCTAGATTGAGGACTAGGCCAGAGGGCTGTCTTATTTTAATGGCTTGGTCCTGGGGCCCAATATAACCTTAGAGGCCCATAAATGGTACGGTAATTGTAAGAGGATGTTGAACAAAGATACTGATGTATTATATAATCTATTTGTGTTACTTACGGTGAAAGTATGTTGAAAAATATGACTTAGGCCTATATAAACACAAATAGAATAATAAGTTAGTGGCCCACTTACTTGAGACCTATATTTCTCAAGTGTTGTCCGATAAGTCGCACAATTTCGTAGTCTGTTCTATCCAATCGTTTTGGAGATATATCTCCATTGAGAGATGGACTGTGTGGAACGTTATCAGTGCCATTTTGTTGGGCGGACGAAGATGGGATGCGATCGTCGTCAGAGGCTCCATTGTGTTGGGAACAGCCATTTGCTGGTTGCTGCATTGTAGTCTCCAAAGAAGGACGTGACTTCTTTCGCGGTGGCGGAGCTAGTCCACCGTCGTCGGACTCTCCACTCGAGGCCAGGCTTGCTAACGGGTCGCCGTGACGAAATTTCGTTGGTTCACACAAATTTTCCGAGGAAAAAATGTTGTGAATGCCAACAGTTAGTCCACTGACACAGATGATGGCGAAACACAAACAAAGCTTCTGCCAGTCAGCTACACAGCTGACTACACTGACGTGACGTCACAAACCAGTCGTTTATAGATCTCATTGCTCGGAACCTGCTGCGCGCGACGATGCAGCCATGCAGCTGACCAGTGACGTATAAGCTTTAACCAACAGCGTACTAATAGCAACAAAGCATCAGCTGTTAACAAATAACAGTCGATTACATGCGCATTCAAACTGGGGCGATTTAGCTTATCATTTATTTATAGATAATAATAAAAGTAATTATTTACCTATTTTGCCTGAAGGTCTTGTAGTTTGAACTACAGTATTAGTATTTGAGTATTAGTTCAAACTACAAGACCTTCAGACAAAATAGGTAAATAATTACTGTATAATACAGGTCTTGTCACTGGGTTCAAAAAACATTGAATTACTTTAGTTTATTAGTACCGGGGAAGTACCTTGCCTGATTGTAGGATTGGATTGGTAGTTAATTGGATTAAATCGTTAAAACAATATCATTTAAACAGACACATCATTTTATGATTTACGATTTTTATTACAAACCATAAACACGTGTTTGCCGATATAAACTCAACTGTAATGTAAAAGTAGTATCATAGATAAAACATCCCCCTTAATAGTAGATTTACTGTCCATATAGAACAGCTGAAGCCAGTTTTATTGTTTGTACATGTAAAGGTCGTGATTTGTTTACGTTTTTATGTTATTTCAGCCATTTAACCTCGTTTAACCAAATAAAAACATATTATCATAAACAAAAACTCGTCCCCTAGTTATAACCTAAAGCTGGGTTTTCCTAGACGCGGAGTCGGCCAGCGGAGAGCGGACAACGGAGAGCGGACTCAGCTTGTCTTACGTAATTTAATGTTACTGTTTTCCTAGCAGCGGAGCGGAATGCCATGTTAATTTCAATTCCGCTCTCCGTTGTCCGCTCTCCGCTGGCCGACTCCGCGTCTAGGAAAACCCAGCTTTACCAAACAGTAAAGCACAAATCATGAAATTATAGGTAACGCTCATAATAATAGACACAAAATTTCGTCGACACTTAAAATAACATTAGAGGAGGCACTTATCACTATTTTTGGAGGATAAAATTAACTCTTCAGCAGCAGTTTGAAATTATCCAAGATGGCCGCTAGCTTCCAAAATATAATAAGTAGTGTAGCGTTTATTAGTCATGTAAGGTAATAATTTAATTTTTTTATTTGCTCATCAAAAGAGAGATTTTTTTATGTGAAACTGAAATCAGGTAAGATAGTCAAAATGGGAGTTCAGTATTAACAGACTTTTCAAACAGTTTTTAAACTAAGAGAATTTGGGAAATCAGTTTTTTACCATTTGAAGAAGATAAAAGAAGTAATATATTTTTTAACCGACTTCCCCAGTACCAACAAAAGGAGGAGGTTCTCAATTTGTCTGTGGCGATGTTTTTTTTTTATGTATGTTCACCAATTTCTCTGTGATTCTTTTACCGATCAGCGTGGTTCCACCACCAAAATAACCAGGATATTTTCTATTTGGTACCATATATAGCATTATGTTTACGAAAAATATTTGTTTGGTGATAAATGCTGAAAACCTTATTTTGATTATATTTTTGCAGAGAAGGCAATAAATAATAATAACATTCCTACAGCTGTTAGTTGAAACCATTTAAATGAAGCTACAGACAGTTTCTTCATGAAACAGTTGCTTCATATCGATTAATTAACTATTTCTTGCCATGGAGCCTAAATAAGTAACATTAAAAAAATGCATATTGTTTTGGTTACTATAAAAAAGGTATTTCAACCTTTGACCTGATTTGTGTATGATTCTGTTTTGAGTATTGAATGTTCTGAATTATAAAAACATAGTGAATAGCTGCTGTATGATAGTGACAATTTAAGGTGTATTGTGAAAACCAAAGCATTCGTAAAAGAGGTCCAAATATAAATTAGATGCAATTATTCCTTAAACGACATAAGAGGTGTGAGATTGCATAATCGTCAATCGTCTTCAAAGTGTTAAATATTTGAATTACTAAACATGCATTTGAAGATGTCAAGATGTGGAATGTTTATTAATATTCTTCACTGTCAATAATATTATGCCTGCTTCGGAAATGGGAAGCTGATTTGCAATTTCTGTGGCACTTTTGACTGTTTCAAACAGTTTTGCTTGTCAAAAAACTTCAAGTAATTAATATATAACAAATTATACAGTCACTAAAAATCATGAAATAATTTATTTTTGTAAAAAAATGCAACCGACTTCAAATGCTCTAAAAAGAATGAAATAATTTCAATAAAGTAAACTTTTGCAAGCTCACAACAAGTCGGCGCGGCTCTAACTGCAAAAATATGAATAAAATAAAAGATATTGAGTGTATTTTGAAAATCAATAAATTGTAGCTGGATAACATAAATATATAAAAAAAAAACATACTGAACTGTTTTGTTTATATATATCAAAGGAAGTATTTTATGTTTACTTCAGAATGATTGCATAATGAAAATAACACACACAAATGTTCTATATGAATAGGAAAATAATTTATTTTGATATTATGATAATGAAAAGAAGCTAGTTTAAAATTAAAACGTTTCTTTTCCAAGTTAGAAATATGTAAATACATTATAATATTTTTAAAGATACTCGTTAATACCACTATAAGATTATAATCACCTTTAATTATAGATAGTCACCTGCAATGTGGACATCCTCTTAAAATTTTGTATCAAAAATCATCATAGAGCCGCGCCGACTTAAAATAGTACGTGAGTTTGAATAATACAAAAGTTTACTTTAATGAAATTATTTCATTCTTTTTAGAGCATTTGAAGTCGGTTGCATTTTTTTACAAAAATAAATTATTAGATAGAGTTAAAAATAGCCTAGGATAAGTAGCCTAGATTTAGAGTTAAATTAGCTGAATTGGAATTTCTTATGAAAATTAAATTTTTAAGCTTAACGAGGGAAAAGTTCTTGCAGGGCATGACACTAAGCTTGATGGAACCATTTTTGTGTATTGCCTTCCGGATTACTTCATGATTTATTATCTACAAGAGGCTAAATATAACCTTCACTGTCCAAGTTGACTATGGCGACCCGCCGTTTCAACGATTATGTGTCATTTTCAAGTAGGAGGACGTAAAATGTCCAAGATCTGCACTCTGTACCCGCCACCGTGCCATAATTACAAGTTTTATGGCCATGCATTTTACCGTGTTTTGTTTGTGTGTGATTGTACAGTATGTGTTAAGTGTTTTTTGAGACACATGAAGACCTCCTAAGAGTAAACATTTTTTGGACAAAAAAGTAAATTTGGCGTAAAAAGGTAAGTAAAGGTAACTTAGCCTCTTGCAGATAATTTATTGGAATCAAGTTATTTTTTTCTATTGACATTAATAAACACATTTGCCTAATTAATAGTTGTAGTTAGCTAATTGATTCAAAGCTACTTGTATTCATTTATTAACCTATAACCAAACACATTTTATTTTAACTCTAGTCTTTTATTAATTTGCATAATAGACCAAAGCTTGACATTTTATAATTTATAGCAATTATGTGATGCATGATGCAGACGTAATTTATTAATTTATTTATTTCTTGTATGCTACTTGACTTTTATTGATATGTGCGTTTTTGCAACATTTTGTAATTTTTTTTTTTGTGACGAGACTGATAGCATGTAATTGTTGAATGGTCAATAAATTCTTGATTCTTGATTCTTAATGTCTTCAATGTACCTCCATTTTCACTAACAACTTTTTATAGAGTGGCTTTGAAGGGGAAATAAACTATTATTTACTGGAAGTGAACATTTTAATCTATCACTTTCATTATGTCTTTCTTATACAAAAAGAACTTGTCATAAGCAAGCACCTTAACAAAACACCACAGGAGTAAAGGAATTGAACGTTGCTTGGAAAGTAAATAAACACTGTGAAAATTTAAAAGCATAACCTAAAAAAGTAAATTTAAATGAGAATTCACAATGAGACATGAAATAATTTTAATATGTTAACGACAATTGTAGGGCACATCAGTCTTCTGGCGTTTACGAGCTTGCATGCCTGTGAAAAACTCCCTGATGTCTTCTTCTCTGACAACTTTCTTATTCTCAACAAATTTGGCCAGATATTCACTAAGGTGTGTCTTCATTTCATTGTAACCTGGAAAAAACAAATAAAAATAAGACCCTAAAAGAATTACAACAACACAAACAAGTAGAAAGGACATGTTACAATTTTAATTATCTCTTCTTTTTAGATAAATATCAACCCTATACGGTCAAAAAGAAAAAATTTTGCAGTTTGAATCAACAGGTTAGGTAGTCACAGCCTGCTGTATTGACAGAGCTCTTTTGCACAGCTGGTAATGCATAATCTTCACATTGTTTGTCCTTGCCGCTTTGATACCAAAGGTTTTGGCTAAAAAACGTGTATTTTTGGCTGAGCCATGTGTGTACAAAGATTTCACAATTAAATAAATTAATTTTGACGCAAGTGCAAGAGATTATGCCACGAATGCAGGGGATCTTCACTAATTCGCTGCCCTCTGGGGTCTTTCACAATTTTGATGTGACCACTGTAAAAGTTCACGATTTCAAAGTGGAACACGTTCACGACATCACTGCAAAGTTGGGAGTAGTGTATAGTATTTGAATAAAAGCAGTTGTTGTGTAATAAACATTATTGTAAAAATAAATATTTTATAAAGCAACGTAATTTTGGCCTGAGTTAATTTTGCCTTAGACCTGAAGTATAACATTCTGGCCCGCAGGCTCGAACAATAAGATAACCATACTTGGGAATAACGAATAGAAATTCTATCGAATAGCACTATTCATTAGTTTTTTTTGCTAACTTCTATTTTATTCGTTTGTTTTTAAATTAACTAACTAATAACTTCAATCAGTTACTTTTTATGGGACTAACTAATAACTTCTAACTAGTTAGAATTTTTAACTAACTTTCCCAATTATGCGGAAGCATCTCAAATACTGGTTACTGTATTTATTTCACGTGATCAGTGAGGGTTGCGTGCGGCCGTGAGAGGTCAGTGCCCTTGTAGACAAACAATGCGGGGGGTGGGGAAAGAGAAAGTCAAAGTCCAGTTGCTTTGGAATACAGTGGGCCTGTGGAAGGGTAGTGACGGCCATTATCAACACCCCAAGATGGGTGGGAAGGGGAAATGTTTGTTTGGTGATTGATATATCATCTCAAGTGTCAAAACATTGTCTTTAGTTGATGTTCATTATCTGACAAGTTTTATGTCATTTGTTTATGTTGTAGTAATGTAAAATGTGACAATGTTTGATTAAAACACAAGTACCAGGGGACCGATCTTGTTCGAGGTGTTTGATTTGTTCAAGAGGTAAAAAATAGAGCTTATAAGCCCACAAATATTTTCAGTCTTACTACGATTAATTAAGTAGTAAAGTCAATTCGTTTTTGTTAGACATCCACTTATCCTCAATTTAGTCCACAAAACTTTTTAATTTGGACGATCAATCTATAAAATGTCCACAATAAGCTTCAATCAATATAAAACTCATGATACATAACATCTGTTATCTGACGACCGTTATTGCATTAAGTCACTGGGATCGTGGAACGTTGCAATTATAATTACGGGATGGTGTAATAACGTATCAATTCGTGCGGTGCATCGTCGAAAAATACATATCTCCTTGGCCTTTCCTATAGATTTTTAGTTCAATGTCAGTGTATATTGTTTTGCAGTAAAACACTTAATGTTTTTGAACAGTCATAATTATCCCTTTGGTTAGTAAGACATCATACAATGCAAATGTATTATACAAGCAATTTTCAATAGCATTGAAATTGGAGGAAATCGTAGGAGCCATTTTTAAAATCATATCTTGCGCAATCTTTACTCATATTATAGTATATATTAGTAACCAAGATGTGACATTAAAAAATACTTTAACAACTGACAACGAACAACTAATTTCTACTAAAACTAACTTTATTTTCTATCAGTTAGTTTTTCAACTAACTAATAACTTCTATCAGTTACTTTTTAAACTAACTAACTTATAACTTCTATCAGTTACTTTTCACGGGACTAACTTATAACTTCTAACTAGTTCGAATTTTTTACTAACTATCCCAACTATGAAGATAACTGGATGATTCAAAACTATGCTATACATTAATTTAAGACCTACATTGTCAAAATTGATTCTGTTTCCTCAAACACAAACAAGAAAGTAAGCTGGGTTTCAATTTACTGACCAAATCAAGACTAAGTCTGTACTGGGTCTAGGATCAAGATAACAACTTACTCAGTATAGCCTCCATCTGTTGCACTCTGTCGAGGGATGACAGAGCCTCCATGCCTCGCTCGTACTGTGTCACCCCTGCCCCGGCCGACCTCTTTCGTGCCTTCCCCTCCTCTTCATAGGCTCTCACAGTGTCCCCCTCGTCAGTGAGGAACAGCACACCAAGACTAGCATACGTCTCCTACAAAAAAAACACGTGTGAGAAAAAATCCTTTGTTTGAATGAGTTATGTTGCTAAAGATATTTTATGGACATTTTCCATCGTGATGAATAAAAAAAACAGTCATAAGGTCTTTGGGACCTGGAATCTAATTCTATCCTCATATTTGTTTTTTTCATTATTTTTTATATTTTAATGAATTTTTACGTGGTGTGACGTGGACCTGTTTTCCTCCCTACCCATAGCCTTGTAGTATTACAGATACATTAATAACTAACATCAACTTACATCAACATTAACTAACATCAACGGTTCTCACACTTCGCACTGCTCGCATTTACTACTTCCTTCACCACTTCCTACATCGTGGACCTGTATCCCGCCTAACCATCGCATATTAGTATTGCAGATACAACTGTCACCAAAGGGTTCCCACACTCCGTACTGCTCACCTTTACCACTCCCTACGTCGTGGACCTGTTTCCCTACCTTCCCATAGCATTTTAGTATTTCAGATACATTAATCTAACTACCACAGACATTATAATCCATATTTCTAGCCCCTGAGCTATAACTAAATTGAAATATTACCTTCATCAGCCAGCTCCTGATTTGTTATCAACGTGTTACAGCCGTTTCAGCATCACTGTGCCATCGTCAGACTGTTCAGCCAAAAGGCGTCGTGCCTTATTAGCCATACAATACAAAATGTAAAACTGAAACTACACAATACAAATATGTGTGTGTTTCGTGTAAATATGTTTTTGTGTTTTAACGACGCCTTTTGGCTGAACAGTCTGACGATGGCACTGTGATGCTGAAACGGCTGTAACACGTTGATAACAAATCAGGAGCTGGCTGACAAAGGTAATATAATATTTCAATTTAGTTACCACAGCCAGTTACCACAGACAGTTTCCACACTCCGCCATGAACGGTTCCCACACTCCGTACTGCTCACCCTGACAGCTTCCTTCACCACTTCTTATGACTTGGATCTGTTTCCCTTCCTTCTCATAGCATTTAAGTTAGGGATGGACGAGATTGGATTTTTAGTTCGAGACGAGACGAGACGAGATTTTTTATTTCTCATAAAATTTTGAGACGAGATTGAGACGGGATTTCCCTTCTCATACACAACGAGAAATGCACATTCAAAATTTTTACCTGATTTTGTAACATTGTTAGAATATTTGTTTGTTGTATTTGTTTAAATACAAAAATAATGATAATAGGCAAGAATATTTACAATCTTTTATTAAAAACATCAGCATAACATTTTTTATTAATCACGCCTAACTTATTAAAAATGCCTACGATTAGGAAACATAGTGATATCAGTTAGGATAGAGATCAACTTATCCTAAAATAAAATAAATCCTAAAATAAAAGGAATATTAATTTTTATAAAATAGTTAGGTACTTGTTTTGACTTTTTATAGTAATAAAACATTCCTCACACTGCTTACACTTAACAAAACTTCTCAAATGTTGTTAAAGTAATATTATTAAAATAATTAAAGTAATATTTACATTTAAAGAATTAATTCAATAAGAACGCCTTTGCAAAGGAAACGCAACTACAACACGCTCCTGTATTGCGGGTATTGCATTGACTTTCTGCAGGCGTTTTTAATTAATTAATTTTTTTTTATTCTCGTCTCGATAAAAATCTCGGCCAAAAAGAAATCTCATCTCGTGTAACGAGATTTGAAATTTCCCGAAACTTCGAGACTTGACCATCCCTAATATAAATGAATTTAAGTATTGCATGCACATTATTCTAACTGCCACAAACTGTTCCCACACTCAGAACTGTTTGCCTTTACTACTTCCTTCAACACAACCTATGTTGTGGACCTGTTTCCCTCCCTTTCCATAACATTTTCGTATTGCAGATATGTATTTTTATTTTGTGATAATCCAGCTTTGGCTGGTATGTAACTACTGTCTCGCCTCAGGACGAATAAGATTCCAGATCTTGAAACATCGTAGTGAAAAATATCTGCAATAAGTTAGTTCCTTAAATAATATCATGAGAGCTATCATTCTAAAAACTATCTTTTTAAAGCACGATTATCTACACATAAAATCAAAAGCAGAACCAATAGACAGCCAAAACTTAACACCAAAGAGCACTTTTTTTAAATAATCAACACCCTTTTGACCAACCGTAAAAAACCACGTTATTGGATTGTTTATGACAACCAAAATGTTGGTTGTTAGATGGTGTGTTGTGGTTGGAGTTGGATGGTTAGTTTTTCATGACTCTGTACTCATACTGATCTCCTCACTAGTTTTCCAATTATTATGAGGATAGCCATTATTATAAGGATTTGATATTATTAAAATTTAATGATCATAAAAATGCTATATTAAGAAAACATCCAAAACAGAATTTGGTGAAATCACCTTGCAAGATGAACAAACACAAAGGAGTTTTCTGAAGTTCTCTGGCCAAAATGTAGCACCACTGTCTCGAGGAAGCATCTTCAAACTCTTTAATTTACAACCTGAAATACACGTTTGGATTCAAAAGAAATCTTGATATTATTGATATAGTTTTAAAGAACATACAGCAAAGGCGCATGAATATGAATACTTAAGTCAAATTACGTTTGAGAATGTGAGTCGCAAATTTTAATATCACATAGCCAATGATTTTTTTCAATTGTTTATTTACTGTTGTACTACACTTCAAGTGTAACTTTGGGGAGATAACAAAAACAAAGATAAGAGGGCAGTTCAAACTGACAAAATGTATTTTGCATTGAATAAATCACAAAGTATAGGACTACTTAATTTGAAATGAATCATAAACAAATATTCAGGGTGCTCAGTTGTACTTTATTTACTACAACTAGCTGTGTACCCGTTCTACGCACGGGGATCTTATAGTATTCAGTTGAAACCTTCTTATATACAGTACTAGCTGTAACCCGCGGGCTTTGCCCCGTTTAAATTCTTAATTTTCAAGATGATCTCGTTCGCATGGCTCAATCACGTCCTGGTTGAAGTTTGTTCGCTACGCTCACTCACATTTAGGTTGGAGCTCATTCGCTACGCTCACTTGCCTTCAGATTAGCTCGTTCACTACGCTAACTCGCCTCCAGGTTGAAGTTCGTTCGCTATGCTCACTCACCTTTTGGTTGCAAATTAGCTGATGTCATAAATGTAAAAGAAATAATAGTGCTGCACCCTGTTGGTAATCCTTGTAACTTTAATGCTATTGAACATCATAGAACAGAACCAACTTGTTTAATTGAAACAGCTGTTAAGATTAATTAGTTCCATTTCTCATAAGGTTAACATGGGAAACTCCAGAGCCACTGGGGCGGAGCCGATTGGACGGATCACGAAATTGATGGTGTATAAACCTATTCCATGAAATTCTACACGTATGTAGGCTACCAAGTTTCATGGCAATCGGTTCAGCGGTGTCTGAGTTTATCACTGCCAAATATATATATATATATACAAACATCCTCTTTTATACTTATAGATAAAGAACAGCAGTTGGTTTGCATATTTTCAGATATGCTGGCCAAACTATTATACATAACTTCATTTTATGTTGTTTGTTGTTGTTCCGGATCGGTATGACAATTGTATGAACTTTGAAAGGGTCCTATGTTCTGAAATTAAACTACTTCTTATAAATATTCAAGGAATGACAAATAAGCTAGAACAGCTGGAAGAAATTCTAGTACACAATGAGTATTCAATAGCCTGTGTTTGTTAACATTGGCTATATAAAGATGATGTTGAAGGTATGGTTCCACAAGGTTTTCTGTTGGGAAACAGTTTTGTACGGACACATCACCGAGGTGGCGTAAGTGTTTATGTAGCCGGAAATATGTCTTTTACTAAGTTGGACTTAAATTCATTCTGTCAAGAAATACACTTTGAAGTAACTGGAGTCATCATTAATCATTTAAATATAATAGTGGTCTGTATAGAACTTACGTGGTCCCGACAATAAATTAGAATCATAAACAATATTTTATTTTGAACAAAACATAATATAGAGTAATCACTCACCATTAATGATGTCAGAAGAACTTGCGGTTTCTTTTTCATTAGCAGATACATCAGCTTCTTGCATAACTTCATTGCTATCATCTTTGGTCTCTTTTGAGATGGCAGAATTACTTTGGGGTGGACAAGTTTTCTCTAAAATATGTTAAAGAAAAACAAATTATCAGATTTAGATGTGTGTATACTACATCGTTTACACCCCTGATCCCTAGTTTAAGGCAAAGAGAAGTGAAAAATAGGTTTGAAATAAATTACTTTAATATAGCCTAACCACTGTCTATGGTCAGATAGTCCTTCAGCCAGATTTAATAATTAAGTGATCACGAATCCAATTACAGTAGACTCCCTCTTATCCGGACACCTTTTAACCGGACATCGGTTTAACCAGACTACACTCGGCGGAAATGAAATCTCTTTAACCGGACAATTTTTATCAGCACATTAGTTTAACCAGACTACACTCGGCAGAAATGACATCTCTTTAACCGGACAATTTTTATCAGCACATTGGTTTAACCGGACTAGATCGGCAGGAAGTGGGCGGTACTGAAACGACTGTTCTTGTGGGAAAGATATGAGACCAGTGATCACGTTTCTAAATACAATGCTCTCCTAAATTTAAGTCAAATATTGATTTACATAACAAGTTTTTGGGGACGTCGGTTTAACCGGAAAACCCGTTATCCAGACTGGCCTCGGTCCCGAGGAGTCCGGATAAGAGAGAGTCTACTGTACAAGACTAATAATTTTATCAGAGAGTTCAAAGTTTGTCATATTTCTCAAAAGTTAATGATTTATTGTTTCAAAAAATACCACAGCAAAAGTGGTAATGCTGTAGTAATTTTGTGATCCCAGGATCTTTATAGACCTGTTGGGCATCGGCTCTTGACGATCGTTTCTAGCTACCGATACTGATGTCCATGTGGTTTCAATAACTTGACACCTATTTAAAGGTTTATAATTAATTGTAAGATCTAAGATGTCATTTTGTATGAATTAGAAAGATAAATTCTTTCTCACCAATAGTAGGCCTCATAAAAATATGTTGGTTTATTAGTATTAGATATTATATTCCTACTCACACAAGTTAAATGAAAGACAAAGATTAAGTTACTCAAGCTACTAAAAAAATACCTTCTGAATTCTGTTTTTCCTCAACATCAAGGATTGATGTTTTTCTTGACTCCAAGTTTTCACCTTCATCCTAAAATTGCACAGAACAGTTACAAAGGAATTCACATTTGTGGAAAAATAGTAAGTCTTTGCGCTGTTATTATTTTTAGTTTGTATTTGGATTCTAGTTTTAAGTCTATGGGCCATATATCACTTTGAAAACAATAAACGATTGCATGAATGGTGTTTAAAGTTTATAATGAACAGCTTAACTTACAACAGGGTATAAGTTTAAAATTTCCATGTTATTCTAAGGGGAATAAATAAACTGTTGTAGTTTGCTTGTGTAGGAACATTTGGATTGAATTTTGCAAATTTATTTATTTCATTGACACTTCAATAATGTAAAAAAACACACTTTAATATGTTCCGTGTAGCAGCAAACCTAACTAGGCTACTCATTACAACTAATGTCATTACAATAGAAAATACATCTGACAATATTAAGGCACTGCCTTTGCATGGCTATTTTTGCCTGTTTTTTTTTGCATGGTTTTCAGTTTTGTATGGTTTTGTTTGTTTCCTTATTATTATATTTACCGTATCTAACTTGTATTTATTTGTGAATCAAGTGATGGACTATTTATTTTTATTTTGTATTGTAGGTGACTTAGCCTATTGCTTTGCTTAATGGCCTAATAAATCATTGAATTATTGAAAGGGAATATTTTAGTGTAAATCCAACACAGTAAACGGAAATTTTTTTAGTCTGCTCATTTGCTGTGCCATTAGGCCGGGGCCACACAAGGCGGCGTGGTCCGACAACACATTGAATCAAATGAGAGTGGCCACACGGGGCGATCCTAAGCCGCCTGGGCGGATTGTCCGCACGATCATAAGCCGCGTTGGAGGGGGTGACACACGTAGTCTTATGAGAGTGGCCACACGATACGGATTGTCCGCGCGGTTGGAGCTTATTTTCAAGCATTTGTGGTTGTTTTTTTTTTAGTTTGTGCTTGTGCGTTTCGGTTTATAGGTGTAAAATGTTCGATACAGACAAATTAATAGAACTTGTTAAAGACAAACCATGTCTGTAGGATTTCTCATGTTGTAATTCATGTTGTACATTTCTCTTGAGTGTATCTTCCTTAGTTATATGCGGTCGAAGCAATTGAAGTAGCTTGTCAAACAATGCTATCTACATGCGATAGTAACAAAAAAACTTCCGAACTATGGTTTTGCATGTGCTTGTAAAAGGTTTGGAACACAAATGGTTTATCGGTTATGAAAGGATGGACCCAATGATTTCGGTTAACCTTAGACTCTAGCTCACCACACGCCTCTAATGCACAAACTAACATAAGTGTTTCGTCCATGACTACAACGAGAACGAGTGAATTAAACCATGTTTTAATCTTACAGTACGTAGGCTGACCAAACCTAACCTAACCTCACCCGTAAGCGGTTCATCCGCTCCGTGTGGCCGGGACATCATCGCGACGATCCGCCACGTGTGGTCCCGGCCTTTTTTACTAGTGATGGTAGCGAGGTAGAACCGGCACCGGATCGGATCCAAAAAATTCTGAATTTTGGCTTGGATCCGGTTTTGATGGATCCGATTTTTTCAAATTTTTTCCCGATTTTTTCCCTAATACAAAGCTGTCTGTATCACTGTACAACCCCGATTAGTTTACTAAACACAAAGCTGTCTGTATCACTGTACAACCCCGATTTGTTTACTAACACAAAGCTGTCTGTATCACTGTACAACCCCGATTTGTTTACTAACATAAAGCTGTCTGTATCACTGTACAACCTTGATTTGTTTACTAACATAAAGCTGTAAGTGTCACTGTACAACCCCAAATTGTTTACTAACGTAAAGCTGTCTGTATTGTTGTTCAAAGGATTATTGTGGACATTTTCCCTCACGATTGTAAAAAAACAATACACAACGTTTCGGGATCTGGAATCGGTCTGTGTGGGGTTGTCTGTCTGTATTACTGTACAACCCCGATTTTATTACTAACACAAAGCTATCTGTATCACTGTACAACCCCGATTTTTCCCGATTTTTTACTAACACAAAGCTGTCTGTATTCTTGTACAAGACCGTTTTTTTCCCGAGTGTTTGTCTCTTGATGCAAACAACTTAAATGGCACGGCCATGTCTCGATGTTTGTATCTAAATGCAAATAACTTGTATGGCGAGGCCATGTCTCAGTGTTTGTCTCGAGATGCAAATAACTTATATGGCAAGGCCATGTCTCAGTGTTTGTCTCTTGATGCAAACAACTTATATGGCAAGGCCATGTCTCGATGTTAGTCTCTTGATGCTAATAACTTATGGCCATGTCTCAGTGTTTGTCTCGAGATGCAAATAACTTATATGGTAAGGCCATGTCTCAGTGTTTGTCTCTTGATGCAAACAACTTATATGGCAAGGCCATGTCTCGATGTTTGTATCTAGATGCAAACAACTTGTATGGCAAGGCCATGTCTCAGTATTTGCCTCTTGATGCAAATGACTTATATGGCAAGGCCATGTCTCAGTGTTTGTCTCTTGATGCAAATAACTTATATGGCGAGGCCATGTCTCATTGTTTGCCTCTTGATGCAAATAACTTATATGGCAAGGCCATGTCTCAGTGTTTGTCTCTTGATGCAAATAACTTATATGGCAAGGCCATGTCTCATTGTTTGCCTCTTGATGCTAATAACTTATATGGCAAGGCCATGTCTCATTGTTTGCCTCTTGATGCTAATAACTTATATGGCAAGGCCATGTCTCATTGTTTGCCTCTTGATGCTAATAACTTATATGGCAAGGTCATGTCTCTTTGTTTGCCTCTTGATGCTAATAACTTATATGGCAAGGTCATGTCTCATTGTTTGCCTCTTGATGCTAATAACTTATATGGCAAGGCCATGTCTCATTGTTTGCCTCTTGATGCTAATAACTTATATGGCAAGGTCATGTCTCTTTGTTTGCCTCTTGATGCTAATAACTTATATGGCAAGGCCATGTCTCATTGTTTGCCTCTTTTCCCCTTGATGCTAATAACTTATATGACAAGGCCATGTCTCAGTGTTTATCTCGAGATGCAAATAACTTATATGGCAAGGCCATTTCTCTTGATGCAAATAACTTATATGGCAAGGCCATGTCTCATTGTTTGCCTACTCTTGATGCTAATAACTTATATGGCAAGGCCATGTCTCAGTGTTTGTCTCGAAATACAAATAACTTATATGGCAAGGCCATGTCTCATTGTTTGCCTACTCTTGATGCTAATAACTTATATGGCAAGGCCATGTCTCGATGTTTGTCTCTTGATGCTAATAACTTATGGCCATGTCTCATTGTTTGCCTCTTGATGCTAATAACTTATATGGCAAGGTCATGTCTCTTTGTTTGCCTCTTGATGCTAATAACTTATATGGCAAGGCCATGTCTCATTGTTTGCCTCTTTTCCCCTTGATGCTAATAACTTATATGACAAGGCCATGTCTCAGTGTTTATCTCGAGATGCAAATAACTTATATGGCAAGGCCATTTCTCTTGATGCAAATAACTTATATGGCAAGGCCATGTCTCATTGTTTGCCTACTCTTGATGCTAATAACTTATATGGCAAGGCCATGTCTCAGTGTTTGTCTCGAAATACAAATAACTTATATGGCAAGGCCATGTCTCATTGTTTGCCTACTCTTGATGCTAATAACTTATATGGCAAGGCCATGTCTCGATGTTTGTCTCTTGATGCTAATAACTTATGGCCATGTCTCAGTGTTTGTCTCGAGATGCAAATAACTTATATGGTAAGGCCATGTCTCAGTGTTTGTCTCTTGATGCAAACAACTTATATGGCAAGGCCATGTCTCGATGTTTGTATCTAGATGCAAACAACTTGTATGGCAAGGCCATGTCTCAGTATTTGCCTCTTGATGCAAATGACTTATATGGCAAGGCCATGTCTCAGTGTTTGCCTCTTGATGCAAATAACTTATATGGCGAGGCCATGTCTCATTGTTTGCCTCTTGATGCTAATAACTTATATGGCAAGGTCATGTCTCTTTGTTTGCCTCTTGATGCTAATAACTTATATGGCAAGGCCATGTCTCATTGTTTGCCTCTTGATGCTAATAACTTATATGGCAAGGCCATGTCTCATTGTTTGCCTCTTGATGCTAATAACTTATATGGCAAGGTCATGTCTCTTTGTTTGCCTCTTGATGCTAATAACTTATATGGCAAGGCCATGTCTCATTGTTTGCCTCTTTTCCCCTTGATGCTAATAACTTATATGACAAGGCCATGTCTCAGTGTTTATCTCGAGATGCAAATAACTTATATGGCAAGGCCATTTCTCTTGATGCAAATAACTTATATGGCAAGGCCATGTCTCATTGTTTGCCTACTCTTGATGCTAATAACTTATATGGCAAGGCCATGTCTCAGTGTTTGTCTCGAAATACAAATAACTTATATGGCAAGGCCATGTCTCATTGTTTGCCTACTCTTGATGCTAATAACTTATATGGCAAGGCCATGTCTCGATGTTAGTCTCTTGATGCTAATAACTTATGGCCATGTCTCAGTGTTTGTCTCGAGATGCAAATAACTTATATGGTAAGGCCATGTCTCAGTGTTTGTCTCTTGATGCAAACAACTTATATGGCAAGGCCATGTCTCGATGTTTGTATCTAGATGCAAACAACTTGTATGGCAAGGCCATGTCTCAGTATTTGCCTCTTGATGCAAATGACTTATATGGCAAGGCCATGTCTCAGTGTTTGTCTCTTGATGCAAATAACTTATATGGCGAGGCCATGTCTCATTGTTTGCCTCTTGATGCAAATAACTTATATGGCAAGGCCATGTCTCAGTGTTTGTCTCTTGATGCAAATAACTTATATGGCAAGGCCATGTCTCATTGTTTGCCTCTTGATGCTAATAACTTATATGGCAAGGCCATGTCTCATTGTTTGCCTCTTGATGCTAATAACTTATATGGCAAGGCCATGTCTCATTGTTTGCCTCTTGATGCTAATAACTTATATGGCAAGGTCATGTCTCTTTGTTTGCCTCTTGATGCTAATAACTTATATGGCAAGGTCATGTCTCATTGTTTGCCTCTTGATGCTAATAACTTATATGGCAAGGCCATGTCTCATTGTTTGCCTCTTGATGCTAATAACTTATATGGCAAGGTCATGTCTCTTTGTTTGCCTCTTGATGCTAATAACTTATATGGCAAGGCCATGTCTCATTGTTTGCCTCTTTTCCCCTTGATGCTAATAACTTATATGACAAGGCCATGTCTCAGTGTTTATCTCGAGATGCAAATAACTTATATGGCAAGGCCATTTCTCTTGATGCAAATAACTTATATGGCAAGGCCATGTCTCATTGTTTGCCTACTCTTGATGCTAATAACTTATATGGCAAGGCCATGTCTCAGTGTTTGTCTCGAAATACAAATAACTTATATGGCAAGGCCATGTCTCATTGTTTGCCTACTCTTGATGCTAATAACTTATATGGCAAGGCCATGTCTCGATGTTTGTCTCTTGATGCTAATAACTTATGGCCATGTCTCATTGTTTGCCTCTTGATGCTAATAACTTATATGGCAAGGTCATGTCTCTTTGTTTGCCTCTTGATGCTAATAACTTATATGGCAAGGCCATGTCTCATTGTTTGCCTCTTTTCCCCTTGATGCTAATAACTTATATGACAAGGCCATGTCTCAGTGTTTATCTCGAGATGCAAATAACTTATATGGCAAGGCCATTTCTCTTGATGCAAATAACTTATATGGCAAGGCCATGTCTCATTGTTTGCCTACTCTTGATGCTAATAACTTATATGGCAAGGCCATGTCTCGATGTTTGTCTCTTGATGCTAATAACTTATGGCCATGTCTCAGTGTTTGTCTCGAGATGCAAATAACTTATATGGTAAGGCCATGTCTCAGTGTTTGTCTCTTGATGCAAACAACTTATATGGCAAGGCCATGTCTCGATGTTTGTATCTAGATGCAAACAACTTGTATGGCAAGGCCATGTCTCAGTATTTGCCTCTTGATGCAAATGACTTATATGGCAAGGCCATGTCTCAGTGTTTGTCTCTTGATGCAAATAACTTATATGGCGAGGCCATGTCTCATTGTTTGCCTCTTGATGCAAATAACTTATATGGCAAGGCCATGTCTCAGTGTTTGTCTCTTGATGCAAATAACTTATATGGCAAGGCCATGTCTCATTGTTTGCCTCTTGATGCTAATAACTTATATGGCAAGGCCATGTCTCATTGTTTGCCTCTTGATGCTAATAACTTATATGGCAAGGCCATGTCTCATTGTTTGCCTCTTGATGCTAATAACTTATATGGCAAGGTCATGTCTCTTTGTTTGCCTCTTGATGCTAATAACTTATATGGCAAGGTCATGTCTCATTGTTTGCCTCTTGATGCTAATAACTTATATGGCAAGGCCATGTCTCATTGTTTGCCTCTTGATGCTAATAACTTATATGGCAAGGTCATGTCTCTTTGTTTGCCTCTTGATGCTAATAACTTATATGGCAAGGCCATGTCTCATTGTTTGCCTCTTGATGCTAATAACTTATATGGCAAGGCCATGTCTCATTGTTTGCCTCTTGATGCTAATAACTTATATGGCAAGGTCATGTCTCTTTGTTTGCCTCTTGATGCTAATAACTTATATGGCAAGGCCATGTCTCATTGTTTGCCTCTTTTCCCCTTGATGCTAATAACTTATATGACAAGGCCATGTCTCAGTGTTTATCTCGAGATGCAAATAACTTATATGGCAAGGCCATTTCTCTTGATGCAAATAACTTATATGGCAAGGCCATGTCTCATTGTTTGCCTACTCTTGATGCTAATAACTTATATGGCAAGGCCATGTCTCAGTGTTTGTCTCGAAATACAAATAACTTATATGGCAAGGCCATGTCTCATTGTTTGCCTACTCTTGATGCTAATAACTTATATGGCAAGGCCATGTCTCGATGTTTGTCTCTTGATGCTAATAACTTATGGCCATGTTTTAGTGTTTGTCTCGAGATGCAAATAACTTACATGGTAAGGCCATGTCTCAGTGTTTGTCTCTTGATGCAAACAACTTATATGGCAAGGCCATGTCTCGATGTTTGTATCTAGATGCAAACAACTTGTATGGCAAGGCCATGTCTCAGTATTTGCCTCTTGATGCAAATGACTTATATGGCAAGGCCATGTCTCAGTGTTTGTCTCTTGATGCAAATAACTTATATGGCGAGGCCATGTCTCATTGTTTGCCTCTTGATGCAAATAACTTATATGGCAAGGCCATGTCTCAGTGTTTGTCTCTTGATGCAAATAACTTATATGGCAAGGCCATGTCTCATTGTTTGCCTCTTGATGCTAATAACTTATATGGCAAGGCCATGTCTCATTGTTTGCCTCTTGATGCTAATAACTTATATGGCAAGGCCATGTCTCATTGTTTGCCTCTTGATGCTAATAACTTATATGGCAAGGTCATGTCTCTTTGTTTGCCTCTTGATGCTAATAACTTATATGGCAAGGTCATGTCTCATTGTTTGCCTCTTGATGCTAATAACTTATATGGCAAGGCCATGTCTCATTGTTTGCCTCTTGATGCTAATAACTTATATGGCAAGGTCATGTCTCTTTGTTTGCCTCTTGATGCTAATAACTTATATGGCAAGGCCATGTCTCATTGTTTGCCTCTTTTCCCCTTGATGCTAATAACTTATATGACAAGGCCATGTCTCAGTGTTTATCTCGAGATGCAAATAACTTATATGGCAAGGCCATTTCTCTTGATGCAAATAACTTATATAGCAAGGCCAAGACTTAGTGTTTGTCTTTTGATGCTAATAACTTATATGGCAAGGCCATGTCTCAGTGTTTGTCTTTTGATGCAAATAACTTATATGGCAAGGCCTTGTCTCAGGGTTCGTCTCTTGATGCAAATAACTTATATGGCAAGGCCATGTTTCTGTGTTTGTCTTTTGATACAAATAAATAACATATATGACAATAGCATGTATCTTTCCGAACTTAATCTAAACCGATTTTTCGGATATCTGCATACCTCTAGTTTTTAGTTTTGTACCTGGATGATATCTGTTAGTATTTCAATCTCACCCGATGCTTCGTGATAAAAAATAAAAAAGTATGATTCAAATTGGCATTTTGTTAATTACGTTTTTTTTTAACCGGCCTTATGACAGTGTGTATCTGGATCCGGATCCGACTTTTTCAAGATCCGGATCCAGTACCGACATTTTGTTGGATCCGCCCATCACTATTTTTTACCCAAATGTTGAAACCAAAATTCTCTCAGAAATCAATAAATGTATGTTTGCTATACTATTTTGCTAATATCACCTATTTTACTCACCAGTTTCAAGGATGATTCAAGAGATGTATTTTCCTCTGTGACACTGACATCACCCTCCTTCTCTTCTTCCTTGGACACTTTACTTACTAGAAAAAAGAAATAAATGTTTTGAACGTATTGCATTGTTTTTACTAATTTTACGGCATGTCTCTTTTGCTGAATTTAACAGAATATACTATTTAATGTAAATAGTTGTAGTTACTATAATATTGTGTAATATTTCATTTCATTCATTATTTAGTATTAAGTTTCTTAAAACGTTAACTTTTGTTCATACACCTTTGTTAATAATCACTCCTCAGAAAGGCTTGCGTAATATTCATTTTCCTAATTTATATAATTTCATTAATATGTTCAATTAATCATTAATAATATTCATTCCATAGACTATATATATATATATATATTTTTTTTTTTTTACAAAGCCCACAACTTAATTATTTATTAAATATGTAAGAGAATTGCAATACATCAAAATTTCTTATAATATCATTTCAAAATTAGTCCTTAAGGAATCAAAATTCAAGAAGCAGTGAAACAGTGATCCATGTGTTCAACAATGGATTATGTGAACATTGAGATTGGGAAGAGAAGGAAGCCATAGTGGAAGTTGAAACTGTTAGTTGAAAGGATTCCAGATTTTATCTAAATTAAATTCATTTATATCATCAAGAAAACCAGTTTATATCTAGTTATTTCACAGTAAACCTCAAGAGGACTCAACTCCATCATTGTTATCTTAAAAATTAAGTATAAACTTTTCTTTTAACCCTCCGAGTGTTATGTGTTGAATTTACATAACACACTTTGTGTAGTGTTTTGTGTCGATTTTTCGACTCACAAACACTGTTTACGGCAAAGGCTCTATGACTGACAAAATCGGATTGAACTGGATCGAGTTAGGTATCGTTTTATTTGGCAGATTCTAAACTTTCTCCCGAGGTCTGTTTCTAAGCGCTTTTTTTTCTCGAGCCGATCATAATTGTAGCTGACAGCTGACGTTGTATTTGTAAACAGCTTGGTTAACCTCGCACCGATGACTGATTTGTGTTTTATTACGTTTATCATTGTTTTAGTGTTAAAAATCAAAAGTAGTGATATACGTGGTGCATTATAAGAAGATTTAAGTGATTTTGAAGGGCTGGTTGATGATCCTGAAGAAGTAAGTAGTGATAGTGATGTAAATTATCAGCCAGATTCCTAGCTATGGTTAGGCTATGCATTCTTAGCTAAACGCTATGTACCGAAATCTGTTTTTTGCCCATTACTTATTTATTTGCAAATCTACTTCCTTATATTATTATATTTTTGGAATCCTCATAAAATTCTGAACAAAGTGGCTATATTCAAATATTTATAGGCTTATAATTTATAGAATTTCATTGAGCGCAAAGTTATTTTTTTTTTTAATTTTCCAACATATTTTTTTTCCAACAAATGTTCCTTATGTTTTATGTATAATATTGAAGCCCATGATTTTCCAAACAAAATGGTATATAGAACAGTATAATTAACATTGTTTTTAAGCTTCTCAGATCTGTTTTAATAAAAGCTTGCAAATGCGCAAAAAATAGGCAAACATTAAGGCCAAAACTAGGGACACTCGGAGGGTTAAACTCTTTTTAATTCAGTACTAATTGGACTTACCTTTTGGACAACATCAAAATTAGATTTTTCATTGTTGGGATTTGCAAGTTTAACACCTTAATTAGGCCTATTTGGACACTTTTAAATTTATTAATTCTTAGCATTCAAGCCAGCACAACACCCTACCCTGAGATATATCACATCTAAATTATTTGATCCTTTAAGTAATTATTCAAATTTATCTTCTATTTCATTTTAATTTCAACCCCACACACCATTTTGTCAATCCTTTCATTGTAACGTTAAGCCTTTCCTCATTGCATGTTTGTTCATTTGTTTAAAAAAAAAAAAAAAAAAAAAACGCCTTTTGTAATTCATATATCTTTGTTAACTTATTAACTTTAAACATTTATAGAATAGGCCTAGCCTAAATTAATATTGTGAGGTGAGTTTAAAATTGTAAGCCTGTTTCATGAGATATGCAAAAAAACATACTTTACTTTCTGATTGGATTTGAGATGTGTTTGCAACAATAGCTACAGAATTTATAAACAATTGCCGGTTAGTAGTTAACAGATTTTGATTTACTGTCCAGGAATCAAAGAAACAAAATTTATCAGACTATCATTACTATATTCACTTCATCACGGATTCAGATGAAGACATTTCATCTGTCATTTTCATTTTCATTTGAAAAATTTTTTTCATTTTTTGATTAAGCATAATCTAATAATCCAACCAAAATCAAAATGAATTATAAGTCTGGGATGCTTTAATTTAGCCTACTGTGATGTTATAATAATTATAATAGATGTTAAATAGTGCACAATCAAAAATTGACGATTTTGTCAGGTGATCATGGAAGACGATGATGCTGTCGTTAGTGCGGCAGATATTCACAATCTTGCTGTGATCGCAAAAAATGTTCACGATGTTTTAACAGTTGGGGTTTACATGCATTGACGGAGTTTCATGAGTTATAACGCAAGTAAATACAGTTTTTGCAGGGTGTTAAACCTTTCTATAGTAATTCATACAACAAAATAGCACTAAAATCAAGTTTCCCCAATAAAATTTCAAAGTTCACACATAATTCCTGGTTTTGCTGGTCTGTGGCCAACCTGTATTAATTAAGACATCTTACTTCATGTACAAGATAATACCACTTGCCTGCGTATCCTAGGTAATACTGCAAGAATGGTAATTTATCTGTACAAGGACTACAAATCATTTCTGCGTAGTCGTCTTCTTTAGGCACTGCACTTGTCAGATGCTGAAATCCAACATACAATGAATTCAACAACATTTGATTGATAGTCATTTTTTTCTCAGATAATGAATTTTAAAGTAGCAACAATGAAATAAATTAAAGTAAATCTAATTTTATATCATTATCTACAAAACAATCAAGATCACAAATAAACCAGAACATTTAACTTGATGATTCTGACTTGAGTCAATTGATTCAAAATTACAATCCCTCCAGTTAATTAATAAATAGTTACGTTAAATTACTCTCATGACTTTGTCGTTTAGTACCCTGAGACTTGTTATCAGAGTTCTAAACACCGTCATTACGGGCGATAGAATTAAGTCTTGGGAGTATCCTGATTTGAAAAATACGAAGAACAGTACCTAGGCGAACAAAATTTATTTATACCATATGACGATAAATTATTCGTATAGACAGGCCCTTAACACTCTGAAGGAATTTTAAAATTGTATTTTGTTCAGTAAATTAACGCACTACATTCTTTTATCGTAACCTATTTGTTAAACATCTTATATAAAATTAGTACGGTTCATTCTTTTGAAAGTATGATTGAAAGTGTAAGACGAGTACAGTAGTTTTATAATCAAATATGCCAAGGTAGAAAACTCGCCGGACATACAGAGTCGTTCTTAAAGTTAGGCGAAAATTTAAAAAACACTTTAACTAAGGTAAGGACGATATGGCTCCACCTGGGTGTCTCCAGGATTTCCTGAGAGCTTCCAGAGCTCTGAACCTTTGATTAAACTAAAATAATTTATCATTCAAAACCGTGAAACAACTTTCGTATTGACCCCTGGATTTCATTGGCTCCATCTGAGCTCTCCAGGGAAGAAATTTGAGTGTGGCTGGTTTAAGGCCTAGCCTTAAATGTTAATGAACCTTTTGTTAATGAAATGTTATTCCCCCTAAGAATTTATGTCAAAAGTTCTTATATACAACTGTGTTGGCATCAGTCGGTGAAATTAAATCAACATCATTTCAACGGAAATAGTAGTTTTGGGAAAGTAAATCTGGGGATTTTAAATTTGAATTTAAAACCCAGTTAATATCTCCCTCCAGTCATAGTTAAACAACATTTAAAAAAACCAGGCTTCACGGAGGTGAAATGCATACAAATCAATCTTTAGCAGCCATTCTATCTAATATTTAGTTTTAACATACAAATCCAAAATGCATCGAATCTTATTGGGTGATTTAACATATTATCTACTCTTAAGTTAGTAAAGGGTAGCTGAAACTCACCCTAGTGTGGTACCAGTCTTCACATATGATACATTGGATCATTTCATCCTCAACAGAATCCTCAGGGTCAGGATAAGGGCGGCTGCACGTGCAATACACTCCTCGGAAGTTTTGATTGTACACATTTTTTTCATTGACGCCAGTCTTCAACTGGTTCATAGAAAAAATATTGTAGAATACAGTATTTTGTTTATTTGTTTTCAATATTAAAATATAACAAAAAAAGATCTTTCCTAATGAAAATAACAATAAATAAAATTATGATTCATTCGATAAGAAAAAAGACGAAAATGAATTTATTATTAGTAGCATTACATTAATAGCACAGTAGCAGTGTTGTATTAATATAATTATTCATTTAGGCCTACTGTATTTTATAAGTAACACATAATTACTTAGGCTGATCGTAAAAACATTGGCGATACCTGCTGATATTACATGCACAACAAGGCTAGATGCTAATGACATATAAAAAACAAAAAAAAATAATCTTAAAGACGTGGTATTATAATTGTTAACTTACAGGATCAAGAGTGCAGTGCCGTCCTTTAAATAAACTGGTACCACAGTCACAGCGGAAGTTCCTATTAAAGTTCCAAGGAAGATTAAAGATTACAAACGAGCACTCATAGAACAAATATATAGGCTATGATGAAATACCCCCGCCGCAGCAAACCTGCAGACTAAGCGAATTTCCATTTGACTGATTGGATTTACACTGAAATGTCTACTTAAAAATATAACATTTATTCCCTATTTAAATAGAATTAGTTTAACAAGTACTTAGGTTTGCTGCATCAGGGAGGGTAAAACTGTTCTTTTTTTGTAAAATGTTAATAGTTAGTAAGAAATAAAAATATTTTTCAAATTTGATCAAAATATGTTCATAAACAAGCAAACTACAACAGTTTACTTATTCTCCATAAGAATAACATTGGAATTTTAAATTTACAATTTTTTGGAATTTTCTCCGTAACCATTAGGCGCATAATAACGCTTCAATATACTAAATTATTTGTTTTTTTAAGCTCTACAAAATGGTTTGAAAAAAAATTGCTAAATTTTATGTTTTTTGGGTAAAAAATAGGAAAAACCTATTTTTACCCCATAAAACCCCCCATAAACCCCCGTTCCCATGGTCCGATCATGCTGGATTGCGAACTTGTTCGAATAAACGTAGGTTTACACGTTTGTACCAAATTTCATCAAAATCGGATCATTTTTGCTCGAGTTATCGTGCTAACGGACACATATATATACCTATATATAAATATATAAATATATAAATATATATATATATATATGAATTTGAACGGATGGTGTTTTTGGCCACTAGGGACCTCAAAACGAAAAAAAAAATCGGTCCCGCGTCCAGGTCTTACCATGAGTACTACGGTAATAGCTTATTCCCTATATGGGAAATTCGCTAAAAGAAAAAAATAGAAAGCTTTCAGGGGGTCCGGAGTAATAAACCAAACCAGTAAATTTTATTCTATAATTTAACAATTTGTTTCTCTAAGGGTAGGTCATGGGCGCATTGCACATCTCGGCAACACCTCATCATCTCCCTTCATTTTGGCAGCATCCGTGATGATTTACGCCACTGAGATTGCAGCAACGTCCATGATCATTTCTAGCAATAGCTGCATCTCAATGAGCATGATGTCATAAACTCATCATAATTATTTGACGTAAAAATCTAAAATTTGCAATCTCATGGATACAATAGTCAAGGCTGACCGTTTACTCAACATTTATTGAAAATGAACATACAATTCTTGGTTTTAAAGTCAGTCAGGGTGTCCACTATTACCGGTAACACAAAGTTTACTCAAAGTTTGAAAGCCTTTTTCAATATAAAGTTATATTGCAATAGTGAATATTGTATGAAGGGCCTGCTGTATTTTACCAGCAGGGTGCACATGGGTAAACACATTGTTAATCAAAAGCTATATCTTAAAACTTTAAGCTTGTCCTTAAAGGAGGGCAACAAAATCACACTCTCATTGTGCAGTAAAATGATTTCACAGATGTTTGAACGGCATTGTTGCATCCAGTGACGGCGATAAGATCCTACGGGCCCCTCCGCAGGTTTGTTCACGGGGCCCCCCTGGCATGGCATCTCCCGAGGCACCGAGGTGCCATTACCGTCTTCCATGATTGCGGCAAAATTGTGAATGCTTTCCGCAGTCATAGAAACTAATCACAGTCTACCATGATTGCAACCAAACTTAAGATATCATCAAATAACAATATCATCGTCTCCCGCGATTGCAGTCCAATCCCTAATATCCCCCCTCACCCCCCCCAATGACGGAAACAATTTTTTTCAGCAATTGTAGCAAAATCTTAGGTATATCTCCCATGGAAAAAGAAACGCAACGTTACAAGTAGTGCTGTTTAGAGCCAGACGTTCCACATGCTAACATGGCAGATAGGTGACACTTGCTCATTTTATCGTGTATTATTAATTTAAATTTATGAGCATAAATTTATTTAAAAATTTAAAATTAAACTTCTAGAAAAAAAGGAAAATGATTTAAACCAAATCAATATAAATTGAAAGTTTATTTCTGTACATTTAAAATGGAGTCAATATTTTCATAGCTGGGTAACCAAGCTTTTGCATTCTTAAAAGATACACAAACGCGGTAGCTGGCACGAACAAAAAAAGGCTGTAATAGCACAACTGACAGTGTTGCCACTTTGAAGGCCTGAAGTGAGAGTTGGCCATGGTAATACTCATATAAATATTGTTGTGATAGTGGGCTCGTATGGCAGCCCCTTTCACGGACCCGCAAGGCTCAGAGCTCAAGATTCCCGAGAAGGCTTGCGGGCCCGTTATCGCCGCCACTGGTAGCATCTCTCATCTATAGGGGCCCATATGTATGGATGAATAATACTGACCTTTTAGTGTATAATTCTACAAGTTCATGATCAGCATGGCAGTGATAACTGCAAGCAAGGCATAAGCCAGCTCTATCTGGGCCAGCACCCGGCAGGCAAGTTAGGCATGAATAAAGAGCTTGACGTTTTAAATAGCCCTGCAAAAATTTTTTTAAATGAAATACATATAAAAGTTGCAGCCAACACTAAATGTACAATATACCCGCCGCAGCAAAGCTGCAGACTAAGCAAATTTCCATTTTCCTAATTGGATTGATACTAAAACGTCTCCTTAATGGGGGGCCACCAGTTGACCGACAAGATACTTGGTCGTCTTGCCACTAGACCGTCTTTTTTAATTAAATAGATAAATACTGAAAACCAGTACGTCGACAAGTTATTTCATCGTCAGTCCAGTTGACCGGCCTGTAAATCTAAATTATTATATACGAGAAACCAACTTGTCGTCAATCCTCCCGACCGACTTACCACTTGCTCGTCTTTTAGGTGGGGATGTGTTGAGCGGCAGTGCCAGCGGCGCGCGCAGCTGTGGAGGGCACTGCAGGCGTACCAACTTCTGTATCTTGTAGCGGCGGTTTTCATTCCGACGATTTTCAGCTATCACAATGCAGCGGACTAGCGAGGTTCTTATTACGTGTAATTGTTTGTTTCTCAATCGATATTTTGTTATACACAGTACAGTGAATATAAATAGGCCTATATTAGTTTACTTCAATGAAATAAATGTTTTATTTAGCTAAATAAATAAAAATACGCCGATTGAACAAATAAAATTGTTACAGACAACAGGAAGTCCTTAATATGATCAAAAAAGTGTTTATCTTTATTAAAAAATTACTGAAATTTGTAAACTTACTGCTGGCGACAAGGGTGGTGCCATACATAGGTTTATCAATAAATAAGATAAACATGGACAACCTTATGCAGCTATAAGTCAGGAAACATTTGTAGAAACATTAAAAAGCAATACCAATTTATGAAATATGATAAAATATTTACAGGAAATGTTGATTACTGTATATACATCGTGAGTATCTCCAGCAGTTACACACTGGTGATCTTTGAGTTGACTCTTTTAAACTCATTGATTATTACTTTTTTTCGTTTTGAAATAAATTCTGTATTACTTTGAAATTGCTCGAATTCGAGCAACATGTACACAAGTTTGAATATTAAATTAACTAACATATTTATGTAATAGTAGGGTCAAATATTGTTAACAGTGGTGAGGTAACTGCCGTTACATTTATTCAATTGAGAGATAAATACAAATTGATAATACCGGTTATTTAAAGCTTTGTTGTCTATTTTTCCCTCTCTTAAAAAAATAAAATAAAGAATGAATTTAGACTTTTGGTGACATTAGTTTGTACTATTTCTCCTTAAATGACACTGCTGTCTTGGTAAGCAATAGTTATCTCGGTAAACTATTTATTTGCTGAAGTGCACAGTGTGCTACTTAGCCTGAGAAACATCTTTTGTTTTATGATTTTGTTGTAGGCCTATTGAAAACCTTGTCTAGAAGGAATTCCCATTGCCTGTGTTACCGGGGAGAAGTTTTTCTTAGTAAAGTCTGTAGACGTCTTCGGTTTTACACAGAAACATGTAATTATAATTGAAGAAGTAGATGTTTTATCCTCTCACGTTGTTGCGTGGACAATACTATGGTGATTCAATTCTGTGTACTTCAATTGTCTAACTGGCCCTAACTGACGCATCCTTGTTTTTTTTTTACTAAATAATGTAGTCTTTACTTCCGTGGATCTTTGCGTTTTATTGTTTAACTGTCCTCAAGTAAGTCTGTGTTCTGAGTAAGTACTTCAAATGCACGGCACTACTGTATATTCAGATTTTCTAATGAACTATCATAGATAAAAGGAGTATAGACATGTATGTATGACAGAGTATGTCTACTCCTTTTATCTATGGTACTATTTCCAAGTTCATCTGGACGACCCTGCAAATCGTTTCTATTAAAAAAAATTGTATTTGGTTTATGTTTATGAACTTGTATGAGTGTTGTTAACTAAAGCTAAATTCACATCAAATTAATTAATTTAATTTATTTTAATAGTATTTCTAATTAATTTCAGTTTTAAGAACATATAGTAAATAAATCCTTGTTGAAACGGCTGTACTATCCATGCAATTATTGTCAAACTATATGTTCAAAGATTCCTGGACGGCAATGTTATAATACTAGTTGGAGCAGAGGTACTGGATCTAGGGTTAATACAGTTTTGTGACGTGTAAGGTATATCACTGCAGAAGTAGTTAGCTCAAGAATTATGACGCGGATGACAAAGATTGGTAGCTTTTGCTATAATTATAAAAAAAAACCAAGTACATAAAATCATTCACAGTTTTTTTTCACAGTCTATTGAATAGCCTGCAGTTAAGTTCACTCTAATGAAGAATATAGACGTGGCCAGAGTTCCAAACGATTTAAGCAACAACTGTTTACATGAACTATCCTATATGTAAGTTTTTTTTTATAGTGTGCAATGTACTTATTGAATTTTCATTAGTAATATATCATGGCTATATCGTTTATGTAAAAGTATCAAAAGATAGTAAAACGAAAACGAAACAATCAACCAAGACCAGTGACCGAAACAAGTGTCGAGCTGGCGGCGCCGCGCCTACCTCGGGATTCCCCGAGGGCAATAATTCATCTTTGAAGTAACACCGGTAACACTGACTCACTGGCCGACACGGATACCCGCCTACCACCCCCTTTGTGTCGTCACCCTATGACCACCGGTCGGTCGGCCACCCATCCAAGGAAACTCTAGACATCGGCGGCTCTTTGTCGTTCGTTGACCAGCGTATTTTCTAGAGTTGAATGTATACCCTCACTCACACCAGGGAATAAGTAAACTGTAGTAGTTTTCTTGTTTATGAAAATATTTGCATTAAATTAGAAAAAAATCATTTATTTATTTATAAAATGTTATTATTTTACAAAAAAAAACACACTTTTACCCTCCCTGTTGCAGCAAACCTAAGTACTTGTTAAACTTATTCTATTTAAATATGGAATAAAGTCATTTTAGTGTAAATCCAATCAGGCAAATAGAAATTTGCTTAGTCTGCAGGTTTGTTGCGGTGGGGGTATATTTCGTCATAAACTCTTTTGCCACTTAAGAATCTTCAATAGTAAAGTGGCAACTAAAACGCGACTCCAGCGACCCAATTCTGGCGGCGCTCTAGAACTACCCGAAGGCCTTTTCCGGTATTACGCGTGCCGCATCACACAAGTTAGTAGTTTTCCCGCGCCCCTATTCAAACGCTTGTAGGCGAAGAAAAAGAAAGCGAGTTGACGACCGAGGCTAGGTCGACCCGATCGACTTCGACAGCTGTTTTACTGTCTCTCTCCCTCTCTCTCTCTGTCTTTGGATGTGTAGGGTTGGCGAGGGTTGTAAAATTGCTGAAAGTGAAAGGGACGTGGCTGGCGCTACGTTCCTAGTTTTTGGCCTCTTGATGCTAACACTGGGTCGGCTACTCGAGATCAAACAACAGCGTGTGTTTAGTACAAAATTGGGTCCACAGTCACATCTATACTTATTAATACGCAAGCAGGATTTTTGTGACAATTATTCCTCAGAAACTACTGAACCGATTGACATGTTTTTGGTGTCATTGGAAAGAGCGTAACGTGAAGTTGTGCAGGAAACTTTCTTTTTAGGTAAATAATTAGAGAGTGAGGCCCTGGGACCCTTTAAAGTTTCGTATTTCTCCATAAGATTAACACGGGAAACAAACATTGTTTTGAAACTCCAGCTGTTGTCAGGAATTAAATATTAATAATTAGTTGCTCCCCATGGAAGCATGAGAGTTCTGTAGAGTTTGTAGCCTACACCTTATTGTCTACAAATTGGCTAAATAACTTAGGTACAGTACATTATAAAAGCTGACAGACTTTTTATTTTGACTTAAATTGTAAGCTTACCATTTCCCGTCCATGGGCAGTTTGATAGTTAAAAAATAACCCTTTAAACTGGAATAGGACTGTTATGTAAATTGTGAGTATTTCCATTAGTTAATAATCTTTTAGTTGACTCTTTTAAAATCATCGGAAATTATGACTGTTATTAGTTTTTTAACAAGTCATTTGTTTATATGTAACTCCTGTACTTCTTTGCAATTGCTCGATTTCGAGCAACATGTACACTAGTTAAGCTATAATTTTATACAATAGCTAAGATATTCCACATCGTGTCGTAACACTTCGGCCCAAGTAACACTTCGGCCCGAAACCCTCAGATGTGGCCTACGGTCCAACTCTCTACCTGCCCACTAGTAACACTTCGTCCCAACAAAATATTTGACAGGTTAGGTTAGGTTAGGTTAGGTTAGGTAAGATTCCACCGATTCTCCGTCATGTGAGGTCAGAGGATGCAAGGGGTGACGGTTGGGCGACATTCCACCAGAGGGTGGTTGCAAAGTATACAGGTCATGTACCTCTTACTACCTGAACTGCGTTCCTCAACCCTTGTCAATTTTTCGCCGGGCCGAAATGTTACTCCATTAGCTAATTTAATCATCTGTAAAAGCGAATGGGACGAAGTGATACTGTTTTTCTAAGAAATTTGAGTTTGGCCGAAATGTTACTGGGCCGAAGTGTTACTACATCTTCCACATTCCAATCAAATATCTGGCCGAAAGTAGTTTTTGATTGCATTTTCATTGAATAATTTGTAACGAATCGAATTAAACCACGAATCGGACATACCATGATCCGTATGTCAAAATGTATGTTTTAATAGGTGAGGAATCCGATTATGGTATTTTTAAACTTTCGAAAATGTATGGTTTAGGCTGTAGAGATAAAATTACGGTGAAAATCAAATATATAATTTAAACGATTTTTGTGTTGAAATTCTAAAATAAAATTCTTAACTCCTACCCCAAAATATACCGATTCATAATGTTTATTGCAACTATGATCGATGATGTAGCCATAAGGTCGATACAAATTCTTATATTTCGCGCGACGAATATGAAAATATATAGATTTTTATTAAGGAACGGATTGTACAAATATATTGATCCGTATGTCGAAATGTATGTTTTAGTAGGTGAGGAATACGATTTTGGTATTTTCAAAGTTTCGAAAATGTATGGTTTAAGCTGT